ATCTAGATGTTAGTCTTAATCAAGACCATATTACATCGGACATGTTTAAATACTCATACAACTTTACAAACGGGAAAGGGTACCTCATTTCAAATAAAAAATTAATTCGGTTTTGCTTAAACGGTACACCACTTGACGAAGATGTTGTTTGTACGTTGAAAACAAATGTATACACTTCAGAATCACCAACCACAATGGAAGGTGCATTTGATTATCCACATTGTCCGTGTAATAACGACGGTGGCGTGAATTGCAAACTCAAATTATCAAACGAATTTAATTGGTTTGACATGTTTAATAGTGATCTAAGCAGTACCGAATTGATGATAGATCGTAATATTGCTATTTATAACTTTAATGTTACAAAACAAGTCACTGTTGCTGATGATGTAAAATTGTCATTTTATACAAAAATTGTTAATGATTTAGTGTTTTTGTTCACTTTTGGAAAAGTGGCAATTTCTTTGTTTGATAATTCTTCTTCATTCATTTATTCAAATGTGTCAAATACAATGTTGTGTAACGGTGCTTCATATTACAGATTTAATTTAAACCAAAACATCACTAAATTAAAAATTGACTGCACTGGAAGTATAAAAACACTTTGTTTGTATGAGAACACCAATGTTATCATTTCTAAAAACACTACTTTGGTTCAAATCGTTCAAATAAATTTCAGTGAAAACGGAAAGAGTTTTGTATTCTTGGAAAACGCCAGTAGTTATAATGCGATGAATAATTGTTATCTTTTTGAAATGACAAAAAGTCGTTTAACGTGCCTCATGTGCGACTATAAATATAAAATTGTAGATGGAACATGTTATCCTCTTGACGAAAATTGTGAGACGTACAACAAAAACAACAAATGTGTATTGTGTAAAACTGGGTTTGTTTTAAATGAACAATTTGAGTGTATTAGTTCAGAAATTTGTTTATATGGCACATCAACTAATTGTTACAAATGCCAAGACAGATACATAACAAATGAAAACAAATGTGTGTTGGATACGAATTGCAAACACAGTGATGGGAGTGTATGCATCATTTGTCACAATGGAAATTTATTTGACAAATGCGAGAGCTGCAAATCCCATTGCCGTTTGTGTAAAAACGAGAAATGTTCCATTTGTGATAACAACTTCATATTAAATAATGAAGGTTCTTGCGTTGAAATGGAAGGTGGAGTTTCAAATGGAATATCGACTATCTGGTGTAATGATAATTATTACATTGCAAATGGGGTTTGCAACAATTGTTCATCAAACTATATACACTCGATAGTATGTGACAAAAGCAATACAATCATGTGTGAAACTGATTGTTTTATTACCAATGAAAGACAATGCACGTCACTTATTTGTAAAAATGAAACATTTAAAGAAGAAAATGGGATGTGTGTTTTAGCAAAAGAAGATTGTGTTTTTATTGTGAACAACAAATGTTTGGAATGTGATAATAATTATAATCTTAACGACAACAATATTTGTGTTAGTGTTATAAATGACACAACTTTAACTAAATGTGTATTATATAACAAATATGGCTGTATTTCATGTGACATTGGGTATTACTTGTTATTTGCAAAATGTTATCTATGTTCTGAGAATTGCACAAGTTGTATTGAAAGTGATACAAAATGTTTGTCATGTAAGTATGGTTTTTATATGGGAGAAAATTACTTGTGTTTGCCAAGCACCGAGCTGTTGGGGAAATGTGACAAAATATCACAAATTACTGGTGGATGTTATCAATGCAAAGACGGGTATTACATAGTTGGTATGGATTGTGTTGAATGTCTTTCTAATTGCTCAACATGTAACACAAAAGACGCGTGTTTGACTTGTAATTTGACAAATTACAAAA